CTTGATGTGTGTCTCTTTGGGTTCATCTTCTTTGGGACTCTCTCTGATTTCTGGACCTGGATGCCTGTTTCCTTTGTCGGATAGGGAAGTTTTCAGCCATTGTTTCTTCAGATAGGTTTTATGTCCCTTTCTTTCTCTCTTTTCCTTCTGAGATCCCATAATATGAATGTTAGTACACTTGATGTTGTCTTGGAGGTCCCTGAAATTATTAATGCTTTTCAAATTCTTTTTCCTTTTTGCTGTTCTGATTGGGTGATTTGCACTACCCTATCTTCCAGGTCGCTGATCCATCCCTCTGCATCATCTTATCTGCTGCTAAGTCCCTTTGGTGTATTTTTCATTTCAGTCATTATATTCTTCAGCTCTGATGGATTCTTTTTTATATTTTCTATCTCTTTGTTGAAGTTCTGGCAATGTGCATCCATTCTTCTCCTAAGTTGGGTGAGCATCTGTATGACCATTACTTTGAACTCGTTATCTGGTAGATTGCTTATGTCCATTTCATCTAGTTCTTTTTCTGAGGTTTTGTCTTATTCTTTCAGTTGGAACGTATTCTTCTGTCTCCTCATTATGCTCAATTCTCTGTTTATTTCTATCTCTTAGATCAGTTCTGCTTCCCAGTCTTGAAAGAGTGGCTTTATGCAGAATGTGTCATATGGAGCCCAATGCAAACGCCCCTAGTCACTTGAGATAGGTGCCCTGGGGGTGGGGGTAAGTCTATACTCTCCTGCTGTGACTGGGCGACAACCCACTGTTGTGCATCTGATCTGAAGTACTGGCTGTCGGCCTAGCTGTCTGTAAAGCCTGGCTCGAGGGCTGCAGATATGTTGGTGGGTGGAATTATTGTCCTTTTGGCTGTGAAGTCCTGCTGAGGTGCAGGGTTGTACAGGGCTCTCAGTGGGGCACATCCCCTGACATAGCAGTCTGGAGGGAGGATTCCGAATTGCTGCCTACCAGCACCAGGATTAGCACAGCAGAACGAAACAGGAAAATTGGCTGCAGCCAGTGTCTCCGTCCCCAGGGAGAGGCTTAGATGTCTCCTGCCTCACTGTCTGATGTTCCAGGATTAACAAGTGGGTCTCCTTCACCTGTGGTCTACGTGCTTATCGATCTCATGCGTTTTGTACTGGTTGCTGGGTTGAGTGAGTCTGTATGTAAGCCCTTTAATAGCAGTTTCGCTTTCTCTACAGTTCTATAGTTTTCCTGAGTGAATTCCCTGTTGGTTTTCAAAGCCTGGTGTTTTGGGGGCCCATCTACGGGTTGGGGTTCCTGATGTGGAGCTCTAATCTCTTGTTCCTCAGTGATACTTTCTACATGGCTGAGAGTCTTCTGATTTGAGTGACATGCCGCACCTAGGGAGTGGTTTCTTCCTTAGTGAGACTGTATCTCTGCCCCTTCTACCTGTGTTAGTGCTGTCCCTTGTTGTGGGGGCTCTGCTCATCCAATTTCTAGGCTCTCTTCAGAGGGGACAATTCCACATACAGTTGTAGATTTGTTGTGTCTGTGGGAGGAGGTGAGCTCAGGATCTTCCTACGCCACCATCTTGCCTGTCCCCTATCCAGGAATTTCTGGTTATGATATTTACAGGAGCTGATGTTCAGCCATATGGGTTGAATTGCACACTCTCACTAAAATTCACTGTGATGCCAGAAATAGAAAAATCAGGGTATGCTAAAAAAAAAAAAAAGATAAGCAGGGGTGCTTTGCTGGAATATCCCTTCACGAACTAGTCAATATCTAAAATCTCGATATTTTGTTTTAATTTTTGGCAGATATTGTTCAATTTTCCTCCGTATTAGCCAGCCTAGTTTAGGCAAAAAGAGAATTTATATTTCTCGGAACCCAACTAAACCGAGGGAAAAGCAGTTACACAGCTGAGGCTCAAGAATAAGTGTAACCAAGGACTTGAACATCCTGGGAATCTCAATATATTCCCTGTCTCCGTCTCTCTCCGTATGTTGACTTCATTCTTTCATCTTCTTTTCCCTAATGGAAGAATTGAACATGGCTGTAGACATCTTTCTAGCATGAGAAGACCCAGCCCTATTGGCCCACAGCCCACAGTCCCCAGGGAAGTAGTTCATTGGTTTAGTTGCATCAGGGATCCATTGCTGGACCAACCAGAATATGGTCATGGCAGGCTGGGAACTGTGATTGGTTCCATGTGAGTAAAGAATGCATTTCCAGGACTAATTTGTTGTGGCAAGGAGACCATTGGCATGAATAAACGATGAAGAAGAAGCCAGTCCATTTCTACAAGAACAGGAGATATTGGTGGGCAGACTCACTCATAGAAATCCTCAATACCCTAAATGTTTGGGGGATACTCCATATACTTTGAAATTATTCTCCATTCTCTATAAATAATGACCAAGATAGATTTACTTTAATTGCCTATTTCATTGTCTAAGAAAGTCTAGTTCTAAGTTGTCAATAATACCCTACTTGGGATCAGAATATCTAGTAGTATGGGCTGGGGAGAGAGTTCTCGGACCTACTGTTGTTCATAGATGAGGAATTTGGCTCACTAGATAACAGTTGTTCATGGTCTTTTAAAAACTGAAATTAGCCTACACTAGGTTCTTAAATTATCACGTGAAGCCTCAAAATAAACAACTAAAATAAAGGTGCCATGGCCTTGTTTTTGAAGTGTGTGTGTGTGTGTGTGTGTGTGTGTGTGTGTAATTTTCTTCAAATGAGATGAAGACTTAGTAGTTTGGTATGTAATAGGCTAAGAATGGACCAAATGACCTCTATATTCAGCATAATCTGCTGAGGAGACACTGAGTTTACAAAAGTAAATTCTGAAGCTTTATTGATGTTTTTTCTCTCATTAGGCAGGGTTTTCCAACATAAGAGCCTTTTACGCTACCTTTCGGCAAATCCATAACTGCATCTTATTTTTATCCGACAGACTGACGCTACTATAAACTTTGAAGATGTCCAAAAACAAAATGCAAAATATTTCAATAAAGCTGCTTAAGCCCAAACGGGGATTTTCGAGCTTTTTGGAATCTCATTTTGGTTTCTCTTCCAGTAGAAGTCCTTTCCATGTGTCCAAGTCCTTAGACATTTTTCTTAATATTTTGTTTTCATTTTTGAGAGAGACAGAGTACGGGGGGTGGGAGGGGCAGAGAGAGAGAGCAAGACACAGAATCCGAAGCAGGCTCCAGGCTCTGAGCTGTCAGCACAGAGCCCGATGCAGGGCCCAAACTCGTGAATGGTGAGATCATGACCTGAGCCAAAGTTGGATGCTTAACTGACCGAGCCACCCAGGTGCCCCTAGACACTTCTTTCCATAGACAAAAAGGGTAAAAGCCAGGCTCTACTAATTGGCATCCTCCTAACCATCCCCACAGCCTCCTACCCTCACAGAGACAGATGTCCTGTGGTTACCATAGGAACAAGTAGGATACCATTGTTTAAAATTTTGATATTTTACTCTTCATGGGTTTTTGCATTAACTATGCTTTAAAAATATTTCATTAAAATGGTATTTACCATGCTTACTGCACTTGTGGCCCCCCACGTTTAAATTTTGTACCTTACGTGAGTACCAGGCTCACCCTTGTCCCAGCCCTCGTATTTAGACAGACTTGAATTAAGGCTCCAGGGTAGTGCCTTAACCAGTACCTATCCTGCTCAGTCTTGATTTCCCCACCTCTAAAACAAAAATGATAACTGAAATATACTTAGGGGCTGTTTTAAGGGTTAAATGAGATGTACATGTAAAGCATTTAGTATGCTTGAAACAGTCAGCACTCAATGAATTCTACTAACATTACTACTGTCGCTAATAACACAAATGACAGCAACAGCGATAATAGTGGATAACTTTCAGGTTCACAGACATCAACAGTTAAGACATAATCCCAACTCTAGAGAAACCCTGTCTACCAGGAGACTCAGAAATGTAAAAAAAATAGTCACCATTCAGTGAACTGTTACAATAAAGGTCTAAATGTGGTGTGAGGCCTCTCTCTGGGAGAGAGGAGAACTAGCTAAGCTCTCAGAGAAGGGGTTTTAAGTTGAGCACCAAAGGCTGAGTAAGAGGGTTTGCTAAAAGGAGAAGAAAAGAAAGGTCACTCTGGTGGGTGCACAGTCATTGAGGCGAGAAAGGGCCTGCTGGACCACTCCAAGGGAGACAGTCTCTGTAGCTGAAATGGGGGGTTCTGATGGGAAAGTTGTGGGAGGTGAGTCTAACAAGAAAGGACCTAAGGCTCTCGATGAAGAGCCTGGAATATCATTCTGAAGAGATTAGATTTTGTTCTGGGGGCAGTGAAGGATTCTACTGAAGGATTCCAAGGCTCTGTTTGTGAGATGTTCATGCGTGAGGTTGAGAATGGCAACCGTGTGGAGGACAGACTGGAGAGGGCAGCAGTAGAGCCAGGGATACCCACGAGGAGACTATCGTGAGATCTGGGCATGAGGATGAGGGCCTGAATCAAAGCACTAGCCGAGGTGCTGGAAAGCAGTCAAGAGATCTGACCCACATTTTGGAGGCAGAATCAATGAGCTGGGCAGCTGACTGCGTGTGGGGGGTTATGGGGAGGAAGGAGGAACTGAGAACACCTAGGAAGTCCCATCTGTAGTAACTGATAGAGAACACGTGACGAGGAGCCATTGCAGGTATGCGTACACAGTGGGAAGAAGAAGAAGAAAAGGAGCTAGATTTTGAACGCATTTAACTTGGAATGCAGGGGACTATCCAAGAAGAAATGTTCTCAATAGACAGTTGGAAAAATAAGGCAAAAGGAAAAGGAAAGGTGGAAAAGGGAAGGTGGGGCTTGAATATTGACTGGAACATAGAAAACATACAAGCTATCTGGGAGAATTGCCCTGAGAAAGGAGGAATGAGGGCTCAGTCAAGTGATTGTCCTCATCTTCCTTCCTCTCTGCTTCTCACTTTTATCTTTCCATGGACCTTAATAAAAATCAGTGTGCTTCCTGTGTGGAACTTTGGCCTGATCCCCCAGCAAATGTCCCCAAAGCTTTCTTACCCTGGCTATTTGGTCTGCCATTTGGAGACGTCCATCCAGCTCTCGTCTGATCTGGGCTGCTTGCTCATCTGGATTGTCCAGCTGCACAAAAGCACAAACATGGGAGATGTTCAGTTTAGATCGCAAAAGCCAGTAAACTTATGACTTTGCATTTTACACGCCCCAATTTCTGTCCCCGTAGACACATTTCACTAAAAGTTAAGAATTCTGTAACAAACAAATCCAATTTGAGTGAAGTCTTAAATGAAATCCTTGCAGGCAGAGCATCACGTGGTAGACAGTTGCTAGGAAAGACACGAGAATGAGTTTGCACAAGAGTCACTTGAGAACTGCTGGGCAGGAGTGCTTCCAATGAGGGCCCAATAGCACCTCTGTTTTGGTCCAATGAAGAAAGTGTTTACATGACAGACATACAAAGAAGGAGACAGTAAAATAACTATTAGAAATGTGTGGAGCAGACAGAGTGCCTATCTGTAGCGCCTCCATGGCATATATCCCACAGCTGTCCCACCCCCAGACCGTGGGAGATTAATCAATCATTGCGTTCCTTCTTTTGAGCCCTGAGACTTCCTCAGCTAGTACTCCAGATGGCCACTATCACGGAGTCGGTGTTGACATCTAAGTTGAAATCTATCCTAGTCTTCCCTGGAGTTGGAGGTTTTAGGACATAAGATTCAGCATAACTAAGCAGAAATAAACTTGAGCAACTCCCTAACTTCTCTGGTTTTCCCACCTATAGAATGAAGGGGTTGGTTACATAATTGCCATTCTTACCACATCTGTCTGTGAATCTATGAAAGAAGTTGGTAAACATTTCTGTAAAGGGCCATATAGTTAATCCTTTAGGCTTTGAGAGTCATAAGATCTCTGTTGCAATGACTCAGGTCTTCGAAACAAATGTGAAAACAGACATCGTTGATCCATAAATGAATGAGCATTTCTGTCTTCCAATAAAACTTTATGTGCAACCGTAGGTGGTAGGCCATAGTTGTTGATCTTTGCTCTACGAATTACGTTTCTGTCATTCAACAAACATCTTCTTTCATTGAAACACACACACACACACACACACACACACACACACAC